CCCCCCGTGCGGAGTCGTACGTTACTGTGGTGACGTTCTATAGTGTGTAGATAGCGCGTGTTTCTTTTCGGATGTATGTGTAATATTGCGAGACGAGCTTATTGCGCTGAGATTGCGTGAACGTGGCGAAAAAGCCATGAAAGCGTGAAGCTAGAGTGAAAAAGCGTGAGCGTGTGGACGCCATTTTGTTTTTCGGATCGATTCTTAGCGCGAATCATTACATACCTATAGCTAGCCATCGGCGTGTATTTTCTGACGGATTTTGCATTTTCGAGCGCACGCATTTATACGGTGCATTATACGTAGTTTCTACTCTAGCAACGATGAAGTCTTGAGGTGTTCCTGCGTGAGCGAGGGGAAGAGAGATGTGTCCGTGTCATACGATTGATCGTTAATGCCAGTACGCAGTTGAAATTTTGCGAGACTCGCCCGTCGCATGCACGGTTTGAAGTAAGGTGATATTTTTAGGGACTGTTGTTGTGTGTAATATAAAAGGCGCTGTTATCTTTTGTTGTTAAAATACAATGTTCAGAAAAAAAATTACGCCGTGTTGCGCATCCGTTGTTTCTTGCGGTCGAGTGAAATGCACACTAGTTCCTCTACACGCACGCACTCACGCACGCATGCACACACGCTACGTGGGGGTGTACACGGTACGCAGGGTGTACTTGGTGGTCATACAGTACTCTCCTTTGGAGTAGAGATGTTTGCGCGTATGGACAAAAATACGTCCCGAATCATAGAAGTGGCATAACACTCCTGCATGAAAATAATAAATTTCTTCAATCTTATTCTATGAAGAATTTTTGGCGCATCTATAGTTAGCTTATAATTATTATAATTATTAAAGTGGCAGACGTACATGTAAGGTGTGAGTCTGAGGACAGGCCGAAGGGAAGATGGCTAAGGGGTGGTAGAAGAACAATGAGGCTGAGCGAGGGGCAAGGAAGCCAAGAGCAAGGACAGGAGGGGTGAAGTAGGAGTTTTACATCCTGCAGACTAGGGCGCTCTCCTAATTATAAACACAGGTCTACTGGTAAAAATTTATTACATAAATCTATGCTGAGATACCCTCTGGCCATATTAAATGCAGATTCATCACAAAATATAACTCCTCTGGTAAGATATTTTGCATGCGCTAACACCCTAAAGTAGCCAGTTTGTGTACTGACAGGTATATGCAGTGGGTCCTTACATGCAATGTCTTTTTTTTTCTTATAAGGCTTTCTATTTCTTATGTGAGGTCTACTGATTATCAGTGTCTAATAATAGATAAATTCTATCTTTATATATATACTGATGGAATGTGTATACGGTCATCGGCTATTTGCATATACAATATGTACGTATATATATATGGCTATGCTGCTGGACTTTGTCTCCGGTCGACGATTTTACCGCCCGTAGGCCTATCTCATTTCGACGTCGTCTCTGCGACGGGACCTAGTGTCGGCGACGTGCTTTCTATGAACATTGCGGAAATTAATGGAAATACTGCTTGGGTTGGCAACGCTAACGTATCCAGCTTGCAGGGTACCCCGGAAATAGTGTTTCTGGCCGCATTCTCTCAGATACATGTACGTGTATAATTATATTCGCCGCAAAACTCGTCATTTTAACAGATACTGGGCATATGGCCGCCTGCCACATTAGAAAATATTATAGAATTTTATATTTGTTGCAAAGCTAAAATGCGTGTCCGCGCATGCGCAGTAACTCACTAAATAACTGATGTTTCGATTTTAAAAAAATGTATTTAAAATGGAGCGGGGGTACCCGTGTGTAGATTTGTGGGATAAAAGTCTATTGCTATGGCTCTTGTAAAAGATGGTACAACTCCTTAGCTTGCAGGGTACCCCGGACATAGTGTGTATATATTCGCTGCAAAACTCGTCATTTTAACATATACTGGGCATATGCTACCCAGGATATGGCCGCCTGCCACATTAGCAAATATTATAGAATTTTATATTTGCTCCGGCTAAAATGCGGTTCCGCGCATGCGCAGTAGCTCACTAAATAACTGATATTTTGATTCAAAAACGTATTTAAAATGGAGCGGGAGTACCCGTGTGTAGATTTGTGGGATAAAAATCTATTGCTATGGCTCTTGTAAAAGATGGTACGACGCCCTAGCTTGCAGGGTATAGCCTACCCCGGACATAGTGTTTCTGACAGCATTCTCTCAGATACATGTACGTGTATATATTCGCTGCAAAACTCGTCATTTTTACAGATATTGGGCATATGCTACCCAGGATATGGCCGCCTGCCACATTAGCAAATATTATAGAATTTTACATTTGCTCCTCAGGCTAAAATGCAAATCCGCGCATGCGCAGTAACTCACTAAATAACTGATATTTTGATTCAAAAACGTATTTAAAATGGAGCGGGGGTACCCGTGTGTAGATTTGTGGGATAAAAGTCTATTGCTATGGCTCTTGTAAAAGATGGTACAACGCCCTAGCTTGCAGCGTAGGCCCTACCCAGGACATAGTGTTTCTGGCACAATTCACTCAGATGACATGTACGTGTATATATTCGCCGAAAAACTCGTCATTTTAACATATACTGGGCATATGCAACCCAGGATATGGCCGCCTGCCACATTAGCAAATATTATAGCATTATAGCGGGTCCGCGCATGCGCAGTAACTCACTAAATAACTGATATTTTGATTCACAAACTTATTTAAAATGGAGCAGGGGTACCGTGACTGATGGATTGTCAGGTCGCATATTACATCGAGCTTGCCCGCATTGAGGTATATATGTAACTATGGTTTCAAAGCTTCCAAAGCAATGCGGAATAACTGACATCGTAAACTTATAATATTTTGCTATGTCATTGAGAATATTAATGTAAAATTCGTTCATTGGATTTACAAATTCATTGCAATACCAAATGCTCGCGTTGAAGTGCCCTCCATCTAAGCTTAGCTTTCTGTTTCCGGCTACCGCCGACGTAGATATGTTCATTCCACTTATAGCTGTAATGTGATTGCCGCAGCCTACTTTATATTCCGTCGTTCTCTCGTCCGGGAACCGCTGCTGCGATGCGCTCTCACGGCTGTCACCAAGAGTCACCGATGTCCCGCAGCCGCTGTTATGCTGTCCTATGTGCTCGGCGTTTGTTGGTGACACGCATCTTGTGTAACTTGCCGTCATTACAACAGCCACGAATAGCAACGTTACTGCGGTCATCGTGATGTCCTTGATGGTCCGCAAGTAATGAAAGCTCTGCAGGTAGATCTATAAGTGTACAAATGTATCACCGAGTCAATGTCACCTTTATTCAGAGCAGACACGAGCATCCACGTCGTATGTGATCGGTAGAAGATGATGGTTAGTCTGGAACGTGCACTAATCCTGCATCAGTGTCCAATTTACTGCTGATTTTGTATAATGTAGAAGGTAACAGCAATACTTAGGAAAGCTGGTATCTGATGGTATTCCCTGTTACTATACGTTAGAACCTGTGGCGTGGTTGTATCGCGAACTGTTATCTACCGCAGTGGGCATGCAACAGGGGGAACTGGGATAGAGCTTTGCATGTTTACCTGTTTCGATCGGCTAGATGACATAGTGACAAACAAACCTGACCAGCTGTTGGCACCAGAAAATAGTACTAATGGAAATTGTGTTGTCCCTTCACACACACAAAGGCTAGCATAAAAGCCTTTATCAGAATATATGCCTTTTATTTACCGAATGCCTGTGCTCACAAACGCGAGGTATCCGCAATTCTGACTCTTCTCTCACAATCAGATGCAGCATGTAGGATAGCATGAGAGTCCGTCCGTCCGTCCGTCCGTCTGCTGCCCGTCCG